AAACAGCCCCCAGAATACTCGGAAGGGCAATTAAAAAAACCCAATCTCTGACAGGTTTGCGGGAGTTGGTGTTAGTGCCTCACGCCCGGGAATGAAGTCCTTTTGAAAGGAAAGCTAAGTTGTTTCAGGGCACCCAAATGCAGATTTGGTGGAGAATGAGGCTGGGACGAAGCTGCGCGGTGCCTTAGCGAGGATTCCCATTGAGAGGGGAGAACTCCGGCGAAGGGAAGGTGGGGGGCGGGCGGCCTGGAAAGGTGGCTCGGGCTGGAAGAGACCCTAAACACCTGGCATCCAGGTGGTGCGCCAGCCCAGACCTTCTTCCCACCTCACCCTCCTAGCACATTGCACAGCCCATTTGGTGGAGAAGATGGACAAAGTGGAGGGCAGGTAGGGGAAGAGATGCGCAGAAAGCGAGGAGCAAAGGTGCCTAAGGAAGGGGACAGAAGGAGGAGAGGGCGCGGAGACTCAGAGGAGGGTGGGAAGAAGCTTCAGCAGCAGGAGGGAAGGACTGTGGGGGAGGGGGAGGGGAGAAAGGAGGAGGAGAAGCCAGGGGAAGGAGAGCTGAGCCTCAGCACTCCAAGGCGGGGATTGTTTTTGGCGCCTAGGAAACCTTCTGAAGCTGCTGGATACTTTCCCTCCACTCCGGGCCGCGGGTGTTTGGTAAATATTAACAAACTAGGGCGCGTTCCTTTCTGGAGTGTGGATGTCTGGCCGGCCTGCTCTCCGGAAGATTTCCCATTCTAGAGTTCCCGCCCGGACGCCGGCCGGCCCCGCCGTTCACCCGTGCTCGCGCGCACGCAAACACACCTGCTTGACAACAGAAGGAATCAAAATCAATATTGTATTTGTCACTTCTCTGTCTCCTTTTGACTCCCCTGGCAGCCCGGGTGCCACTGGAGCGAATTGTGGATTTATGGAGGGAAATTAGCATAAATTATTAGGAAATCCGTAGCCGTGTGTGGTCCAGCTTGTGGGAAAGGAGGCTATTGTAAACTCTCCAAGCAGAAAGGTGGTCGGCGGTGGGCGCAGCGGAGGCGATGAATGGCTATGGCGCAAGAAAGATTTCCATTTGGTCTGCACATGGGCATAATTGACTTATGTGTATTTTATACAGTTTTCCCAACAACTCCCTAAGCCTCTGGGTCCGTGCCCCCTCCCCGAAGCTTCTGTTTGTTTTGGGTTCTGTACAATAGACTTGGATGCACTTTTCAAGATTTCTTAAAGTGCTCCTTCCCCCCTCTCCTTCATAATAACAGTCTTAAAAGACCTTAAATAGCATGCAAGCCCTCCCGCCTCCCCCTTGGCTTTGCAGATCTTCAGTAGGCACCAAGACACAGGGTTGTAGCAAAAGGGCTGTTTTAAACATGCAGCTCCCAACTCTTCAAACTTGTGCCTTTACCGGTTTAATTCCCTTCACTAACACTGGGCATAGGCAGTGGGCTTCACCTACCACATCCCCCCACCATGGCCAAACTTTGAAGAGTCCTTGGGCACGAATTCCTACTTGTAACTTTGCATGTCCCAAACTTGGTGGTGACAACGTTCCTGGGGAGATAGACAAAGATTTATTCCCACGTGGCTTCTTTTTTTTTAACCCAAAGGCTCCCCCTCAGAATTTAGTTAATCTTCTATTTACTCTGAGCAATGATTTCGACAGCCATACAAAGGCCCTTTGCAAGGCAACAAAATGCCAATTGTTAAAACAAGAAAACATTTCTCTCCCCATCCCCCACCCTCAATGTGTTGTGTGTGTGTGTGTGTGTGTGTGTGTGTGTGTGTGTGTATGCACGTGCTTACAGATGGACACACACCCACCCACTGGTAGAGAAAACCTTCCTGGCTATCACTGGGGAGCAGAGACCTTTCACTCCTATAGTTCCATATCCCAAATCCATTCCCTCAATGTCTTTCTGTATTCTATATATCAGTGTCCACATATTTACCAGGAGGAGTCAGACCCTGGCACCACTCCTTCCCAGGAGCACTCCTGCCTCGCCTGCAGGAGTTGTAACTCTGAGACCAGCTGCCTTTGGAGGAGAACTGTGGACCAACACCTTTCCGTCTGGGAAACGCAAGTCCTCACCACTGCTCCTTGCCAGAAGCCCCTCAAGCTCTTGAGGTCCCTCAGGCTCCTGCGCTTCCCAGCTCCTCCCATCCTAGAACCCTCAAACCCTACTGGGCTGCACCAAGTAACCCCCACAGGCCGCACCTCTTAAGGAGCTGAAGCCACAGCTCTGCCAGGCTCGGCTGCCTCCAGCCAAAGCTCAGCAGAGGTCCCCCCTCACCCCAGTCCTGCCGGTTCAGCAGCTGAGGGCTGATCTGCCCTTCAGGAGCCCTGCCCCCAGAGACAGGTCAGCATCCCTCCCTCACCCCTCCCACCCACCTCCTCCTCCTCCTGGTTATTTTTTCCGAATTAAGAAGGTGACATTATTCTTTCCTTCAAGCACTTCTGCTAATATTGAAAAACGTGCGCTTGCATCTCAAGCGAGGCAGCCCAGACATGAGAGCCATTTCAATATTAATGAAATTGTTTAATCTCCTAAATTCATCGTGTTTAAGTTATGTTTTGGTGAGTTATTGACCAACTCTGAAACTGTGGTTAATGTAGGTGTGTTTGTATGTGTGTATGTGCGCGCGTGAGCGCACAAGCTGGAAGATTATATATAATAACCCCTCCATATAATAGCTCCACTGGTCACGCTAATGTCACTACAAGTATCAAAACTCCACACCCAGAGCTGTCCCACCACCACCATCTCCTCTTCCTCCTCCTTAAAAGAAAAAGAAAAAACATTCTCACATTTCCCGACTGAAGATGATTCAGTGTGGACTGCAGGTATTGAGTTTTTAACAACACGGTAAAATAAATCTCGTTTAAAAACCATAAAGGTGGAAGAATATGCAGACACCAGTGGGAAATCCTAGAATCTACTCAGACTTCCTGCAAGCAAGTGGGGTCAACTCACTCTCATAGCAATCTGATGATGATGATGACTACGATGACGACTACGACAACAACGGCGGTAATAATGATAACAATAATAATAACAGCTCATTGAACCTCCCAAGATGAATCTAAACAGTAGGGAGCCTGTCACCCTGCACCAGACAGGGTGACCCAGGGCATACCCCACCCTCTCCTCTCTCAAAAGAAAGTTAAACTCTCTGGTCTTTGCAAGTCTAGAAAGTACTGCTGTTTCAGCCGGGCCTCAGGCAGCTCTTGCTAGCCTCTCTAAACCCTAAATAAATTCTCTTTATGCAAAAATCAGGGGGGGGGAGGGGAGAAAGTTCCACCTGTAAAATGCAAATTTCCAGGCAACACCTAACTACCAAAATTTCAAACCACCTGGGAGAAGGAGAGCCTGCAGTTCACCTGGTGACAACATGTGTCAAACAAACGCAGATCCTCCCCGGGTCTGTCTCAGCAGCCCTGGAGCCTTTCTCCTGTGTCTATGCAATTCCCGGAGAACTTTTAGAGTGAAGACCTAGCCTATTCGCCCAGATACACTACTTTAATCTAAAAAAAAATTTTTTTTTTTTTAGTCAATACAGTTAGGTTCGAAACGGGCTCTTAGGGAGCTACCCCCTATATTTTTCTAAATGTTCTTTAAAACCACCACTTAAAGCTACACACACACACTGTGCAGAGTTAGGGCAGCAGCCTAGGAAGGTCAAATCAAACTTCGACCTGCCTCTTGGAGGTTTTGGGGGCCGGGGTAGGGGTGGGGGGTGTATTTTCATTATCATACCCCATGCAATCAGGCCCGGGTAATGCCAAGTGCAGGAAAAGGGTCAGCTTCAGGAGGAAGCCGGGCCTGAAGTTAGCTAACAATACAAACCCGATACAATGCGGAGGAAACAGAATACTCCGGCAAGGCAATTTCCATGTCAAACATCATCCGCGCGCAGGCAGCTTGCTCTGTGATCCCGAGTGGTAGCCTGGATCCCCGCTCCACGGCCGCCACCGCCTCATACCTTCCCACGGAGCACCTTGGCCGGCGCGTCCCGCTCGCTCCCCGCCGGCGGTCCGGGCTCTCCCCGGTCCAGAGCTGGAAGTGGTTACTGCTGGCCCAGGTGTCCATGTAAATAGGTGCGAGAGAAACCGGAGCTGGCCGGGCTCTCCCCCTCGAGCGCTCAATCCCCTCCCTCCGCAGCCCCCGCTCTCCCCCCTCCTCCTCCCAAGGCGATTGTCATATGATAGCTAAGAAGTGGCACATTAATGAAGCGCCGCTACAGGGGTCTTTTCTGCTCCTGTCACCGCCTAAAACTATCAGATGGTTTGAGGGAGGACATGGAGGCAGCCACTTAGCTCCGCGGAGCCGCCGCGCAGCCCACAGCAGCGCCCTCCGGAGCCCCGAGGCCGCCGCTGCCCCGGTCCTGGGTCCTCGCCGAGACTCGGCGGCCGAGCTCCGCCGCCAGCGGAGCAAACAGCCGGGAGACCCGCGGACCGGGAGGCTTCTAGCGCTGCCAGGCTCAGCAGAGGAGCTCGGAGATTTGCGGAGCCCGACGGAGCCGGGACTGTGCGCCTGCCCGGGCTTCGGGCCGGGAGGGACTCGGCGAGCGGCAGCGCCATCCCGGATGCTCACGCTCAACTTGGAGCAACTTTAAGGTGAGCTGCTTTTTGGGTTGCATCCCTGCCCCGGTCGCTTCCCCATTCAGGTCCGGCTTAGGCTTATTTCCGTGCTACTCTTGCAAAGATCTCGCGGTCCCCCCCCCCCCGCCCCCCAACGGCCCCCTCGCTGCGCGCCACTCTGCGAGCAAAGTTGCTGGCAAAGGGAGCGCAGGCGCGGGCGGGAGCGGGCTGGTCCAGCGCCGCAGCCTCTCCCTTCCACCCCCGAAGCCTGTGCTCGGCCTGGCTGACCTCGGGGTGTCTGGGCATCCGTGCCCCTTCTCCCCTTATCTCTCTCCCCGTTCCCAGGTCTGAGCAGCCAGCCGGCAGACCCCGCGCGCGCACCTCGGACCCCGGAGTGAAGAAGGGCGGGGGTTGCGATCCCAAGAAGATGCCTCGCCCCGGCCGCAACACGTACAGCGACCAGAAGCCGCCCTACTCGTACATCTCGCTGACCGCCATGGCCATCCAGAGCTCGCCCGAGAAGATGCTGCCGCTGAGCGAGATCTACAAGTTCATCATGGACCGCTTCCCCTACTACCGGGAGAACACGCAGCGCTGGCAGAACAGCCTGCGCCACAACCTGTCCTTCAACGACTGCTTCATCAAGATCCCGCGGCGGCCCGACCAGCCGGGCAAGGGCAGCTTCTGGGCGCTGCACCCCAGCTGCGGGGACATGTTCGAGAACGGCAGCTTCCTGCGGCGCCGCAAGCGCTTCAAGGTGCTCAAGGCGGACCCGCTGGCGCCCGGCAAGCCGGCGGACGCGGCGCAGTTCCTGCAGCAGCAGGCCAAGCTGCGGCTGAGCGCGCTGGCCGCCTCGGGGGGCTCGCCCCTGCCGCCCCTGCCCGCCGCCGCCGCCGCCTACAGCCTGGGCGGCGTGGCGCAGCCCTCGGGCTTCAAGCATCCCTTCGCCATCGAGAACATCATCGCGCGCGAGTACAAGATGCCCGGGGGGCTGGCCTTCTCCGCCATGCAGCCCGTGCCCGCCGCCTACCCGCTCCCCAACCAGTTGACGACCATGGGCAGCTCGCTGGGCGCGGGCTGGCCGCACGTGTACGGCTCGGCGGCGGCGGCGGGCATGATCGACCCGGCCGCCCCCATCTCCATGGCCGGCGGCGGCGACTACGGCGCCTACGGGGTGCCGCTGAAGCCCCTGTGCCACGCGGCGGCGGGCCCCACGCTGCCCGCCATCCCCGTGCCCATCAAGCCCACGCCGGCCGCCGTGCCCGCGCTGCCCGCGCTGCCCGCGCCCATCCCCGCCTTGCTCTCGAACTCGCCGCCCTCCCTCAGCCCCACATCCTCGCAGACGGCCACCAGCCAAAGCAGCCCCGCCACCCCCAGCGAGACGCTCACCAGCCCGGCCTCGGCCCTGCACTCGGTGGCGGTGCACTGACCCGCGGCGGCTCTCTGGTTCTCCTCCTCCCCGCTAGCCCACACTCGCCTCCCCGGGCTCCCAGTCCTGCCCTACCAGACCCGGGCCCGCTGCCCGCCCTACCGTGTCAGTGCGCTCTCAGCCAGCCGCCTCTCTTTCCCGCACCACAACTTTGTTTGGGACCCCGAGACGAAACATACAAACTTGCAGATGGGCCTGGAGGCGCGTGGGAGTGGTCCTCGCCCTCACGCGAGGGGAAGGCAGGGGCACCTGAGCCAAGCTGTCTCATCCCCGGGGCCCTGAACCCCGCACCTCCCATGCCCTCCCACCCCCCCTCATCTAAGAGGCATGGGAAATCCTGGCCCCCGCCTTCACCGAGAGGAGCGCATCTTCCCTCCGCTCGCACTCGGCGGGGCCCTGAGCCTCCGCACAGTTTGTTCCAAGACCAGAGAAACCGTCTCAGAGGTGTCCTCCAACACACACATCCATCCGAGGGCCAGATCCCTCAGTTCCAGTCTTGGAAATCTGCTGCGGAGAGAGACCGCTCCTCTTCCCACCCGGCTCGCCTCCGCCCATCCGGCAGGAGCTGGGCGGACCGCAGCTGCCCGGAGTAGCTAGCGGGCTTGCCTCCCAGGCTTCCTTCCGCAGAATTTTTTTTTTTTTTTTTTTTGCGTTGGGTGTCTGGGAGGCTCTGGGCCTTGGGAGTTAGGGGAAGAGGCTGCCGAGCTGGGAAGGGGAACGCTTGTCTGGAACGCCAGCGAAACAAAACTTAAATGTAACCTTGTGTTGTTTACAAAGCGCCCGGTAAAATGTAAACAGTGAACTTGAATCTGTATGGCTTGGCGGCCGAGGGGGCAAAGCCCACTTTACAAGTACCTGTTGTAATGTGAATGTTTACTCTTTATTTCTGGCTAGGTTTGGGGGAGGGGAGAGAGGGAGGGGAAAGTTAATTGGGATGTTAACTTCCCGATTACTTAAGATACCTTTATAGCTATTTATTTTATTGTTGGGAAGGGGGGAAATGAAGTTAGCCCAAACTAAGAAAGCATCAAGGGCAAGCCTAGAAGAAGTAAGATAAGCTGACTGGTAACTTGGAGGAACTGTCACCGGATAGGTCTCCCAGGGCCAAGTCCTCTGTTTGCTACACGGAGTTTTCCAAGAAGCTAAGGGCTGCAAGGAGGTGTAAATGCTTGTGAATAGGAATGATTATACACTGTGTAAAATGCACTTTTGTTTGCTATATTCCTTTAGAGTCTTAGGTAATTTGCTGAGAAAATGAACTGTTGTTCTGGTGTGATCTGCTTAAGTTAAAAAAAAATACAAGTTGTAGTGTCATCAGAGCTGTACAATTTTTATCTTTCGTTTTTTTCTCCCTCCTTATAGAGAATTAGCATGACATTTTAAATATTGATGTTCTTGTTCCCAGCATGCCTGTTTTAAGACAGAGGATTTTAAGAAGAAGGTGTCTACATTAAATTATGAACCTAGTCCAAATAATATTTTCTCATTAAAATAAGTGAACTCAAGTTTTAGTTCTGTGTGGTTTGGAAGTTTCTGCAATCACTTTCAAAAGACAGAGGTAGTGTTTCCCTAAGCATGCCATCTGCAGCACATTGTCTGAGTAGTTTGTCTTGCTCAGATCTTATTTTCAAAACAGGTGAAGTTCTCAGGTGTTCACAGACCGGGAGAAAAGTTATTCGGATGGACTCTTGGCTGCAGAGGGAAAGAGGGAGCAGTCTATTTTCAGTGTAGAGTAGGTGTACAGATGTAGTGCTGAGCGAAAGACTGCCCTGAAGAAAAGAACAGTACTTTATATATATTTTTGTCTTTCTTAAAATATACATTTTATACAACATAACCAGCACTTACATAAATGCAAAGCCTATGTAGAAATCAGGTAGAGGTGATCAGGTAGATGGAGACACAAAACCAGACTTGCCTACACAATGTGTACATCCTGACACATTGGACTTTGGAGTGAGGAGTCATTGCCTTGCTCCTTTAAAGGACTGTAGTTGTCGAAATTTTTTTTTTTGGAAGTTGTCTAAAAGTCCACCTTGCATGTTGAAAGCTGTTCACTTTGAACAGATTTCTTTTTACTCCTTCCTGTGAGAAAATAATGTTCGGTGCATTTATTTTAAAGAGGTAAATGAAGTTACTTAAAATGCTCCACTCTTAAGTATTTGCTTTTCTTCAGATATTTGCAGAGAATTAAAATTTGCCAAGTATTTGTGGCTCAAGGATCATTGAAACTTTAATTGAAGGCCTCACAATATTTCCAGAGCGAGGGGTGTATTCAACTAATGAAGTTGCAAGACAAAGACAAACTTAAATAGTGATTAACACTTTACTGTGTAAAATGATTAAACAAGAGACTGTGCAATGCAGGGAAACCCGCATAGAAATTACGCTTTATAAGGAGAATCCTTGGCATCTGCGACCGTTCAATATATTTGGAGGGCTATCTGAAAAAAAAATTTAGGATTAATGCAAAGGGTAATTAATCCTGTTGTGACCATTTTTTTTTTTTAAAGGAAGGATCCCACACACAGCCAAGAAAGAAAAAAAAGAAAGAAAATAAATGAATCATTGGACTGATTAAAATGCATGAAGCTACTAAAGCTCGTCAGACAGGGGACAACCAAACTCATTCATCAAGCCCAAGTCACAATTATATCAACAAGATCAGCCAAAGAAAGCCTGTAAAACTTGTCCATCCTGGGCTAGGAAATTCTTGAAACTTTGTTCTTAACAATAAGTCCTCTGCATTAAAAAACAACAACAAATAGTTTCATCATTTCCTACAAAATAAAATTAAGACCACCTCTAGGATATTATAATTTCATCGATTTTACGAACACTGAATTCAAAATGGGAATGAAGGAACTATATAGACATGGGCCTCAAACATTTTACAAATTATCAACTTAGCTAGTTAGATAAAATATTCTTCCAAGACTAGTCAATAGGGTTCGGAGTTAAGTGGTACTGTATATACATACATATATACATTCAATAAACGGAAGTAAAGAAGATGCAGATCTTATTTCTGAGTTTTAGCAAAGGAGAGGTTTCAACGCAGCACTTGAAAATGTCCTTTTCAGCCGGTAAGTTCGTCATGGTGTATTGCAAAGAATGAAATAACTTGGGCATTGTGAGCTCTCTTTTCACCATCACAAGCTTCTCCTCTCAGATGAAGTTGAATGAGTAAAGTGGGAAAAAAAAATCCATTGATGATATCTTGACCTTGATGAGAAATCCAAAGGCAGCCCCCAAACACATGCCTCAACCCCACTCTATCCTCAGCTTTGAGACTTACACCCTATTTAGCTGAAGTGCCCCACAAATAAGGAAGTTTATAACCATGATACCTTCAATGGCTCTCTTTGTCATGTTAAATCTTTTCACCTGGCTCAAGTCCAAAGTCAATACACACAGCTTCAAAATAAAACCGGCAGAGACACCCCCATACAGGGAGATGTGTGCTCTCGGTCTTATCTTAAGAATCCATTTTCTATTTTGTAAATTTGGGCAGGATTTGTTTTTAATGTGGGTGTTTGATTTTGGAAACTTGGCTATTCTGTTACTTTTGCTTTTTAACATGACTCTGTACTCAATGGAGGTTTTTAAGGGCTTTCTCTGTGGTTTGGGGAAATGCCTATACAATGGATGGATTTTGTGTCCTTTCTCAAGAAAGAAGCTACAGAAGTTCTCATTAGTCCTATTGCCTGGATTGGGGTTTGGAAAAGTGTAAGACTAGCAGAAGAGGTACTAGTGAATGATCCTCAGGATGGCTTAAATATTAAAGCAGCTAGTTCAATGCCTTTGAAAGAAACAGGAACACTGAGTGTTTGGAAGCATCAATGTGTCCAGGTGCTGGAGAGGGGTGAAGCTGGGGGTGGGAGGATAAGGAATCTGATGAAGTGCTGCAAACAGGTTTTCCATTAGCTCATGCAAAGTGAGGAGGAGAAAGAAGGGTTTTACTTTCACAAAAGGCAACTAACTCCCAGTTACAAGATACCCATTTAAGAAACTGGAAGAATCTGGGTCTGCTCTAAAATTCTTAACATAAATGTCAATTAATTTTTTTTTCTCTCCTAACACCACATATGCACAGAGACACCCAAACAAAACAAAGCAAAAAAGCAAAACAAAACAAAAACAACCCAACCCACCGGCTGTGAAGCCTCAAAGGGGATGCATTTGTTTCTTTTAAACTAACAACAAATTATCTAATTAATATGTTTCAATTACAGCATGAAAGGCCCAGCCCGGGGACCGCCCGCCGTGGGGGCACAATAGCCGCAGAGCCCACTCTAGGAATTTACAATAACTTCACATCTGTTTCTTTATTTTCCACTTTTTGAGTCTAAAACTCCTCTCAAGATCACTTCAAACCACTGCCCGAGTTATGAAATATGTCCCCGTGTTAAAGGGGGAGGAAACTTTGCCCACAGATGCTTCATTTGCAAGAAGAAGAAAAAAAGTGAAAGCCCATTGAAGAGCATTAAACAAATATATTAGAATTCTGTCACTTTATGCAATTGAGTAGATCAAATGAAGGGTCCCGGCCACTTCATTCACTCTCATTCACTCGAATAGAAAATGCAAAGAATAGCAACCCAAGACTGGGCCACCGATGTAGATTTAGCTCCTTTTTACTGGGAGACAAAAAGGCTGAATTTTCACAAACACATTGCTGACTCGGGGACTAGGAAACCGGCACTGGAACCCCTTTGGAATTTAAATTCATTTTATCTTCCTCTCCTTTGCGGGATCTGTTTGCACTACAGTGCAAGATGCAGCAGGCATCCCCTGGCTTCTGAAAAGCGGGGGAGGGGAAGACAGTGCGTGGGGGTGGCAATGTGGGCCTCTGGATTCCCAAGGAGCTCTGGGTGATGGACTAACACCCAGGGCTGAGTTAATAACTTTGGTTTAAACAAATCTTTATCTATATCAATATACACATCATTATAGTACACACATCTCCAAGTCTCTCACCTCCTTGCTTGGCATGGATT